GAGCAGGCCAGTAGCCCCCCAGGGCGTATCAAATGTGAACCTGGTGCACATAGCCGTATCTCGGAGTCATCATAAGACGCTGAGGCGTGTCGATGCACTTACAACAGCATCTCGCATCGTACGCGTGAAATTTAATACTGAATTATATTAACAACTTCGAATGGATTCTAATGTTGACGAGCGTCCACACAATGGAAGAGAAGAAACTGACTTGGCGGCAGGTTGGTAGAGTGGTTCAAGTTCATAGCACCAAAATTGGAGAAATGAGTTGTGGGTTCGATACCAGCAGAAAACTGTGAAAAGTTCAGTGGAAATCGGCTTATGTAGCCGGCTGTTCAAGCAGTGAACATTGGAGCACCGAATAACGTGTTCGAAACCTGCGAAAAGCTGCAAAAATTCTGCGATGTTCAGAATGGGCGACAGGCTTAACGGCCTAATCTCCAACGCTGTCAATGCTATATTATTCTTCTTCTATTCAAACAGAATAACAAAATAGTTCTGCGTTAGATTAGAATTAGAAATCAAAACATGGAACTTCTCCAATGCAACCAAACCAAATAAACGCGCCGGTGTTAATAATCGAAAATGGTCTGAAAACGTGAACAAATTATTCAGAAAAGAGAGCGAAGAAACTTTTCTAAATTTCAGTCTCCAAAAATTTCTGAAAATTACCATTCATACATTGAGGTTCCTTGCAATTCCATACATTATTCCCTACAGCATCTCATAAACTGTGAGCATGTATCCCCAGATTTACCAGCACATTGAGCGGAACAGAGTTCATAAAATGCATTAATAATTTTTTTCATCAGTGTATTAAGAGACAAATAAAGTGGTTCATTCGCTCCCTTCACGTGTCCCCGGAGCCGTAGGGGATGTCACTGTGTCGTCCGATCTCTAATCTTTTACCGTCCGACTAATTCCCAGTTTTAGCAATGGACAATGTTATAGATGTGTGAATTATATTATCCTAATAAACACCCGAGAAAAACTTGAGTCTCATAGCTAATTCATGTTGCATATCGGAAGGGGGTGTGAATTCCCAGAGGGTTAGATTTAAATGGTGTCAGTTGAAATGCAACCCGAACCATCGACTAATTTGTTATTCACATCGGAAAATCGAGAATCGGGACGAGAATTGGTGACACCTTAATGCGCTGACCGTGAGTCATGATGACCATGAATTATTCTAACCTTCATGATTGACAAGACCAATGCATATGCTGCATTTAAAATCTGCATGATTTTGTGAATTTATCATTAAGTAGAAAGCGGTAATTAGCCCAAAAATTCTGTTTTTGATGATCGCATTGTGCGGGAATGCCCGCAAGTACGTCGTATTTTAACAGGTCATGGTGGACTCGTGAAACAGAAAGTCTTAAACCGCATGTTTGAATTAAATGCCAAAACAACATTTTTCATAACAACTCATCAGAGAAGCTAAACAACGTGAGCTCTACTGAACGATGAAATTGGACATTAACAGAAATAAAACTTTCTTAGTCTTAATGAATTTTTTCTCATCATAGGCGGCGCAATAACATTAAACTACGCATCATATGAGGTTTAAAGTGCATTAAATTCTTTTTCTGATTTAGCGCTAAAAGCTTTCAGATCTAATTGGTTATTAGTCGTTTAGGGGCCCGTGAGAAACTTTACAATCGATTAGGTTTATTTTTAAAACCTGTACCTCATCGGTAATTGAGGATGTCATCCACATTCCAAGATAAAACCTGCCTGGCGCGCATACATCGCACTGCTATATATACTGCCACTATTGCTGCTGTTATACTGTTGCAATTGCTGCTGCTATACTGCTACCATTGCTACTGATATACTCCTGCAATTGCTGCTGCTATACTGCTACCATTGCTACTGATATACTCCTGCTATTGTGGAAGGTATGTTGCTAATATTGCTGCTCCGAAAATAATGGGGTCCGCTCTTTGTAATAGCAAAAAGAAATACAACAACAACAATAGACGGCTGGCAATGAGAGTTCAATGATGTGTGTAGACTATTTGAAATGGAATACTTGATGATCGTTCGCGACTAATTGTCCGAAGGATATTACCTACCTGGCATTCCAATGAATGTTGAAAAAAGTCTATAGGTACTACAATACAATGTCTCGTCCTTATTACAGCAGTTAACTCGAACGAGAGAGAATTCAACAGGCAAGTAATTTCCGTATCATTCAACAGACAAGCAATTTCAATATTACAAGTATGAGAAGGTGATTTTAACAAATGTCCAAGCTTGTTACCAAAGGCAGTGTCATTGCCTTCAAATAACTTTAGGCACTCACTCCTATGTAAATAACTCGAGGTAAAGAGGAAAGATTGGACACACGGCAGGAGGTATTATATATGTGCTACGTTAAAGTTGTACGTTTGTCATGTGCGCGTTAATCATTAATCTTGCCTTAAATTCTGAATTATTATTAAACACCTTGCACGGGGTTGCAATTTCTGGCATATGAGTATCTATACAAAATTTTCATAGATTTGACACTCGACAGATATTGAATGTAATAGGTTTTGATTAAAAAATGCGGTACATTTTCTTTACACCTTTTTCGATAATAAAGATGGAGACGGAAAGCCGGGGCCAATACCAACAGTACACGCTTGCCGCAGCGCATCTGTTCAGCAGAACTTCTAAGCCCTGACACTATGCCTACCGACCGACGCCTGCGCCATGCATATGTTATGGCCGGTAGCAAACCGGTGGCCTGCCAGCGAGCAAGATACTCAGCGCCATAAATGTAAAAAAAAAAACATTGTAGCAGCGTACGCACTCGCAGCGAAAACCCAAGCTGATTGGGCTTGCGGTCTGAGGTGATGGACCGAAAGAAGTTACAACTTCTGTCGGTTGCACCTGGACTCAGCCCAGTTTTTATGCATCGTAAATAATTCTGTGCAGTGTCCTCGATGAATATCACCTTTCCAATGATCTTGATTAGGAATTGTCTCAATACAGCCTTTAATATATGACGAATACCAGTATGAAGCGTTTATATTGATCAGTACCATCTTAAAAACAGCCAAATAATATTCATAGGAAACCAGTCCAATTCTAGTTTCAATCTCACTGCTCGTCTGACGCTCATGGCTGCCATTGATCTCAGCGAGGTATGATCAACAAGATAGAACTGCTTCCAGAAACGAGTAAATTGAATGCATGAATCTTCCTATGGGAACTGTCAAATTTCGCGGTTTGGGACGAAGAAATTATGTCCCTTTGGGACAGGCGGTAGTGGTAGTTCGTTGAAGAATTTCTCTATCTTTGGTAAGGATCCATCATTTGAAGTGGTCGGTCACCAAATGTAAGCATGACAAAAGTTCGAACCGTTTTTATGAAAGCATTAAGAAGAAATGGACTAGAATGGAACAATTTAGGCTGTAACTCAAACGACTGCAGAGGCCTGGGAACTTTGGTTGCACGACATCGGAGACCGATATGGACGGCCCAGTGAACCAAACTACGGCAATTTGTGGTGACCATGGGCCATAGGCGGCACGTGAGCGGTTAGAGCTGAAACTGCTTCCTGTGGCTGACCATCATCCAATCAAATTGAGATGGAGACTCGTTCTAACGATCAACTTCCTACTGCGAATCAAAGTATTTACAATCTTGCATCGTAATCTAATACCAAGAGTATTTACTTAAGAGTTTCTGCAACAAATAGACGCTGTAAACGCAAGTGAAAGCTCTAAATCAAACGTTCTTAGTTGAATAACTCCAATTGCCCATCAAAATCCATTCAAATATTGATTGGACTCTACAATAACAATGCATCGCTAGTTCGTGAGTAGCCGAATCATGATTTACATGATTTGCGCATCGATCTCTCCGTTTCCAATTTGTAACACACGCACATGTACGACCCCCACCACCACCACCACCGTACACACGGAGCTAGACTCGATTTACAGGCTATACTTTAAAATAACTCAAAAGAGTTGGATAATTTAAAGGAAAATTAATGGAATTATTATTGTAAAGAACAGCATCTGCACCAAAACGTTATAGCTCAAGGAAATTAATTAATTCATCTCTTTACCTTAATTTACGTCGTGACCCATTAATATAAAACGTGTTTACGTAAATATTCAATTAAATCAGGAATCGGCAATTAGAGCATCACGGCTGTTTTCCACAATTGTTTATTACAATATGTTACAATCTCTTCAATTAATATTAATATTATTATAGAGTACCATAATTAAGTTAAAAAATCAGGTTCATTCAAAGCATTCGGTTCACTAACAGCCCCGGACCGCACATTGCATTCTCGCAGCGCATTTCCGCTCCACAGCCCGAAAAAGTCTGAACAAGTCATAACAGAAGGCAACCGACACCGACAACACACACATTCTGTTCAGCAGATGGAAATGGTCAAATGGATACACCGAAAAGAGAGAACGAATTCAGAGGAGCAGGTAAGAAACGACAGCGAAACAACGAACGAATTGTAAATACGAATTGAAGAGAGCAAGAAAGAAAATTTTTAAATATGTGTATTGCAATAGATCACCGGTTAAAAAAATCATCTGTTAATATATAGCTCGTATAAGTGGAGCTAATAACAATAATACTCATAGATAGCTATAGATACATTAACAATTTCTAAATTCTAACAAATTTGGACGCTGAGAATTGCGTTTGTCGCGAATTCATAATTTCAAAAAATTAATTAGTAATAACAAGTAGTAAATGTAAATAGTGTAGGTATTTTATAAGAAGTTGATTAGTTTTCCACGCTCGTCTCCCATCTATCCTTCTCACTGTATTCAAATGAGGTAAGGTGGCATGACGTAGGCACACATTTGCAACCAAGTTTGGAACGAACTTCGAACTGCATTCGTCAACTTAGTCGGGATCAGGATTCGCGTCTTCCCAATCACCGGAAGTTAAAAGTTTTCAGAAGCCCTAGTTCAAAACTCCTAGAAATTGCAGCAGTAATTCTTATTTGGACCAAGTTAGAAGACTCTCACCTTCAACAAGCAGAGCGAAAATTGCGAATACGAAGAGCAGTCGCTGGTTGACCAAAACTTGGGGCATGATGGATTTATTGTGCTTCTAGCAGGGGCGTAGAAGATGGTTAGGCTGCACAGCTGACGCCAGGAACCTAGCGCTGCGCACACGTCAGCGCTATGCAGCTGTTGCTGTCGTCCTCACGTGCTAATGCTGAATAACGTTTCTTACAACAATATTGCGCGATGAAGAGGAGGATTAGATGTGCATGTTGTTAAGAGCAGCGGCAGCAGGAGTGTAGCTGCAGCTTCAAATGTCGTATTAAAGAGACACTTCGGCGATGTGCGCCAAAGACGTATATGATTCCAGCGCGTAGGCTAGACTACCAGACAAACTACAACTAAAACTTGACACGCCAGAAATTGGAGCTTCAAAGCTGTGAAGCAATATCACTTCAGTTGCAATTAACTTGTCAACTGATTCTGTCACCAATCAAAGTTCCTGAAGAGCCTCACAATAAGTTGGCGTACAACGTGTCTTTCGCAACATTAATAATTAATTTTAATGAAACAGAAGAAATTACACGCACGTTTGCACTTGTGCACTCGTACTACCACAGCATGTAGATGATGTAGCACGTGTTCGTTGAGCATAGAAATCACTCCGTTGTACGTGAGAACTTGCTCATTTTTTTCAACTGAAGACGAGCATTAGTGTAGGTATAGTCTAGCGAGTAGATACAGGCTGTAGAGCGAGTGAGCAACCCGCTGTGCAGATGCGAGTCTTGCAGCGGTGAACCTAGCGCGCGAGGTCAAAGGATGCGCACGGTGACGACTGAAGATGCGGTGAAGAGATGCCACGGGAAGGCTCCGTGGGAGAGCGGGCGTAGGGTCACCTGTCTAGCAACATTCACTGCTGAATAGCCGTTGTCTCTTCCTCTACCCTGCACCGCGTAACGGCCACCCTTGACTGACCTGCTATTATTGATGAGCCAAATTGCTAAGATTCGCTTTCAAATCTCTGTGTCTTGGAGAGTGTGTTTTCTCGATGCTGTTGAGAAATATGCAACACACAGAGTGCTGTACGAGCTGACAAGAATTACTGTGATCAGTTATTTATTGAATTTTTAAACACAAGACTTCCCACTTTAAAAAGAACCGCAAGAAGTTTCTCAATTATAATGTAATATGTTACAATATGAACTATGTTCATATAGCAAACGGTTGAGTCGTTGAGCACAATTAAAATTAATAATTTGATTTTTTATTTTACCTAACACGCAATAACTTTTTTTCTCCCAACACTTGTGAGTCCTGATTCTACGTGATTACCTAATAGGTATAACGTTTTTCAAAAATCACTTAAATAATTTCGAAGTTTCGGTTGGTTAGGCTCAGTTTAAGAAGAACACTTTTACTACGCCAAATATAGACACATAATCAGTATTCGTAGTCATGGACTGTAAGCAATGCTGCGACAATAGCGTCCTGCTGAGATGGAATAGGAACACCGTGAGAAAATCTTGAGCGCGACCTCCACACAGCCAGAGCGCCCTAGCATCACATTACCGCCTCGCGCAACAGCGTCTGAAACACTGACGCTAAGTCGCTGATGCTTTGCCACAGCGCGTCCTCTCGTGGTCGCTCTGCGGTCTTCAACCCTTTTCCTGACGTTAATATTTTATCCCCGTAGCCGCACTCGCAGTGTTTCACTCTTAGCTGCATTTTTCTTGCATATAACAGTGCTTCTTACAAGAGCCTGCTCGTGCCAGCATATGTTGTTTCAATTCTTTCCTATGCATTTTTTAAACATAGTAACCTCGCTGCACCGAATGACTTCAGACACCATCTCTGCGAAAACCTCTCTTCGTTGTTAAAAGGTTATAGGAAAACGTCTTCCTCCTGATAATGAAGCTCCGGTGATGTGTTCATTAGAGCCGAACACTGGGTTCAATTTGTGATGGATCACCGCACTCAAGCACGTAAAGACTCTTACTTCTGTATTGAAGTAAAGAACTAAACATGTATCACTTTTTATGCTGGTAACATTTCAACATTTAATGACAGGAAATCGATACCGCTAATCAGCATGTATAGAGAGAGATGTTCATCGTTATGCGTGTGAAGATTTCTGCAATAAATCATAAACCAAGAACGATATTTTTAATGGCCTTTTTACAATTAAATTCGATTTATTCGGTTCAGAAGCTATCTTCGTTCTCTACAAAGCTAAGTCACGGTTCTCGCTCACATTGAGAAAAGCAGATCAGGATCAGACAAGAATGCATTTCAGGAACGTTAGGGCCCCGAGACCGAACTTTTCTCTGTAGACGTTAATGGAGTGGCCATTGTTGGAACTGTTTTGTTGGTGGTGGAACTTTATAGGTTTCGAGCCGATCACAGATAGTTCATCAACTGAGTGAGGAGTTCACGTGCAACTATGTTAGTATAACATCTGACGATATTTCTTGAATGAGAATCATCTGCATAGGAAAGACACTAGGCTACTGACTAGGAAAACTGCATATGGTATCTTTGTTATATTTTCACCTCCAATTGGCTAGGAAATGAAATGATCACGACGACGAAAAAGAAACAATGATTGTAATCTAAGTTGGTTAGGTGGACTGAACTACTGGCATAGAAGTTAAAATTTATTAAAAAACCGCAGAAACTTAGCGCAGTAATTATTTACGAATTGTTGAGTTCAATAATGAATTCCAGAAGCTTCTGATGCATTTCATCATGTTTCAGACAAAGACAAAGTGCAAATCATAACTGATATATAAGGTCGAGGAAGTTTAGTGAAGGAGAAATAGTTGTTTGCAGGCATTTTTTCGAGGGTACAATAATTCGTGAGGGAAATCAGTCAGAAATTGGATAAAATGTTTCCACCTATTAATACTCCAAACGTTGTAGTCGGTGATCGATAAGACGGAACAGCGAAAGCTATAACGTTTTTTCAGATAACGATTGATGTTTGAGAATCTAGAAAAGCATTCCACATTAGTTCTATTTCTCAGTTTAAAATCAACCGTCAATAGAAGAAGATCATTTATTTATCCTCCCGCAATCCAAAATGGGCAGTGCAACTATTATATGCGTCTAACATAATTTGCTCTAGAATACGTTTTATTTAAATTTGGACGATCCTTTAAAAATGACGACCAAGCGTATAGTTGTTGCTTTATTGCTGCACTCCATAAAAAAATATTTGTTTTTCCTGGTTTCAAGGAACATTACGATGATTTACTGTATTTTCTGACAGCACAAATCAACCCAACTCGACTTCTCTCCAGGGAAAATGTCATTCAATGCAGACTTGGAGGAGAGGAAAGCAGAGTTCCATTAAAATTTCAAAGAAGGTAAACTAGATGGACGGTAAACAACGTTTAAAATTTCTAGAGACTTTTTCAGGATTTAAATATCTGGAAGACTTAAAATTAATTAAAAATTTAAGAGTATTTAAAATTTGATCAGAGTTAAATTCAACGCATGCACCAATAAATTTAAAGTGATGACTAAAACAAATTTACAGTACCGTATGCAACAAGTGAAATTGCTTCCGAACACCACAAGCAGCATGCAACCGCAATATATAATTATATATTTCTGATTTGATATAATTATTATTTGAACATTATCGGATACAAATTTGAAATTTCACTTATGAAGTGGATTATTTATATAGCTAGACTTCCAAGCAATGCTAACCATGCATGTGCTATAGTGCACCGATTAAGCTATATGTCGCTGAATTTATGCAGTTAAAATATCAATTCAAATGCATTTTAGAAGTGTCAGAAAATCCCATTCAAGCCATATTGTCATGAGTGTTGTTATCCAACGCGCGTTGATTTTAACGGCTGCATGTGCAGGCGCTCGGTTGCCTCATAGCGTTTCGGACGTCAGCATGAGCATGTGGAGATGGTAGATGTGCAAATGCCACCGATGATGATCGTCTATTCCTTATTAACAATTGTAAAGACGGTAAAGCAATCCATCATTTTTAGATCATTTGGACGAGGTCTCGCTGAACTTGCTTGAGGAGCGGCTTTTAGGACTTCGCAAGAAGCTGATGTTCATACGCTCTATTGATTATTTTATTCATTATAAGCCTTTCAACGTCATTTATGCACCCTTATAAGGTTAAGCCGGAACGCAGGAACTCGCTAGTCCAGACTACGGATTTGAACTCAATTGAGAACTGGCCGGCTATTAATTACGCGTAGTGTTTCATGCCATGAAAGTAATTTCTTTTCGAAGTTGGTATCGCGGAATGAAATACACAGGCACCTTCGTTCGCAATTATAGGTTCAGCAAACCGTATATTAACGAAATCTACCGGCAGTTTTATGTTTAAGATCATCGATGGTTATGATTTAGACAAACCTACAAGTGACTGGTGTCAGAATGTGAAGGGATATCCAAATCCAACTTTTGATATACATATATGTATATCAAAAGACTCATCAATCAATCAGAAGGTGTCTGTGCAATCAATGCAGCGACTATTACTATTTAAATTTTATTTTAAATAAGAGATGTTAGCTTGTTCGTGTTGCCTACTTTAAATTAGGTTGCACTGTAGATAGAAAAATGGAGGGTTCATTAATTAGCGACTCGTAAAACATGTTAAGAATAGGAGCGTTTTAAGAAAATGTATTTAAAAGTTGAAACTTATTTCAAGAGCACCAATATATAAATGGTATGATAAACAAGTAGAAGAAATCAAATGAATAATAGATCAATTTAATGTTCTCAGATGCACTTATATAGACAATATGGAGAGAAAATATAACTCTGCTATTTATATATAAAATATGAGTAACATACTATAAGGCTGGAGCAGGCAAAGTCATATATGAGTGCTTATAGAAGCATCAAATTTCTGAAGCGCCAGGCCATAAAACTTCGTTCTTGGCTTAGTAATTTTTCGTTCTAAGAAATTATGGAGCTAGCTTGAAAACTAATTTAAAATTTAGGAAGGATATCAGCTGAACAATTATTCTCGAATTAGGAAGATCCTGAAAAAAATGCATACAAGAATAAATCAAATAGCTTGATACTTTGTATAAAAAACATGTTATAATTTATTTTTTTCCGCGGCTAACTTAGTGTTTTCGGAAACATTCAGCAATTGATAATATTCAAATTAAAATATTTCAGTCGTGATGTTGTGGAACAACAATTCATTATTGCCATGCATAAACATAAGTTACAGAATGCTAAGGAAATACGCGGTCATTGATGCTTGAATTTCTGCACAACAGTTTGAATGTCTTAAGGAATATACAATAAATAATAGTTGAATTTCAGCATAACGTTCTGTATATGATGAAAAAAATATGCAATAAATTTGACTTGAATTCCAGCATTGCCTTAACATTTTAAAAAAATACGTAATCTCGATGCAACCATTTAGCATGACAGCCATAATTCTGTAGAAGAATAGGCAATTACCGACGAGGTTATTTTAGAACTACGAACATCAATCAAAAAAACAAGCTGTCATTTAGTTTTCAGCGCCGAAATTTGGTTTGCACGCATTATATTCGTTCGACAATATAATTCATACATTTAGATACAAGTATCTAAAGTTTGAACTTGACACAAATATCCTCATACTTGGCATCAGCTCACAATCTAGAACGATGATATTTGTAAGAGTGCGACAAGATTTAGGAGTATTCCGCAGCTGTGATTTGACAAAGATGATATCATAAAATACGTTGTTGCATAATTAAGTACGAATGAGCGACTTGGAACTGGATAATATGTTAATGACTGTCAACTCCTTTATCGTTTTGCACGATATGCAGAGCTGGGCAGCGCTACTTTGAAATGTAGCGGCCGCTACCGCTACCGTTACATGCTCTAAATGTAGCGGGCGCTGCCGCTACCGCTACAATTGCTTAAATGTAGCGCCGCTACCGCTACATGTAGCGCGCTAGTGCCCACCCTGGTAACAACTAACATGTTGACACTAGTAACAGGCTGAGGTTGACAACATTACACCGAAATCTTTCCTACAGTTTTATTCTGTAATTTATATTATGTATGTATCATGCTGGTTTTAAATAATATTTAATACTATTAAGTAAAATCTAAAGGCTTTATCTATAAATGTAGCGGTAGCGCTGTAGCGACAAAACCTTGTATCGCTACTTAAATATGTATATCGTCGCTACCGCTACTGAAAATGTAGCGGCCGCTACATGTAGCGCGCTACTGCCCACCTCTGACGATATGTTATGAATATTATTCGCAAAAGATTTCGTTATCGTCAATGCCAATTGAATAGGACGCAAATTTATACTTGTAGATGTGAAATACAGTAAAAAGTAGCGTGCTTGTTCGATGTTCAAAATAATGTGTCGCAGTTTTCACTAGAGTTTAAAATATATTAAATTAATTTAGATATTGGATGAACATGTTAAGTACCTACTCACTCTAGTCGAAACTATTTCTTACCTTATTAATTTGAATTGTAAAAATTAGGCTAGACGATTTTAGGCCATACATAGTCGTCGAGAGAATTTTTAGGCGGTCCAAAGAAACTGCTATTGTTTCTTTCGCTTAACGCTACGCATTATCTCCTTTGACG